ACTCTTGGAGGTCCACCATCAGTTTCCTAGATCATAATACACAAATGTCACACTATAAGGGGATATTCTCAACTGAATCTTTCCAATCCTAAACAAACATTGACTCGGATTTTCAACATCGAACCATTCACAATGTATAAAATGGACTAAGAAACATATAAATTAAAAAATTTAAACATTCAAACTTTTAAAGTCCACCATTAACTTCTGAGATCATGATTTATAAGTGTCACACTAGAAATGGTCCTTTTCAGCTGACTCTTTGTAACTCTAAATGAACACTAACTCAAATTTTCAACATCAGACCATCAACAACGTGTAAAATAGACTAAGAAACATAAAATTTTAAATATATAAACAATCAGACTCTTTGAGGTCCACCATCACCTTTCCAGATCACAAAACACAAGTGTCACACTAGAAATGGTTCTTCTCAATTGACTTTTTCCAACCCTGGATGAAAATCAACTTAAATTTTCAACATCGTACTGTTCACAACGTGTAAAATGGACTAAGAAACATAGAAAGTCAACAAATTAAACAGTCAGACTCCTAGAGGTCCACCATCACTTTCCCAGATCATAATTCAAAAGTGTCACACTAAAACGAGTCCTTCTCAATTGACTATTCCCAACCATGAATTAACATTAACTCAAATTTTCAACATAAGATTGTCCACACCATGTAAAACGTACTAACAAACATATAAGTTCAGAATTTTCAACAATCAAATTCCCGAAGGTCCACCATCACCTTCTCAGATCTTAAATCACAAATGTCACACTAGAAATGGTTCTTCTCAACTAACTCTTTCCAAATTTGGACGAACACCGACTCAAAATTTCAACATTGGACTTGAGTAAATAAAAAACAAACGAGTTGTTGTTCGATATCAGGAAATCTGATTTGTTAAGTCGAGAGTTTTGATTCAGTGAATCGAAATATGAGTATTCAATCGTGGAAAATGCGAGAATCAAATCTCTTTTTCCACAGACATTGCCAATGTTTTGTTAGGGAACCAAAATTGATTGAAGATTTGAGGTTGAGGGGTTGGTCTGCAAGGTTAACACTCTTACGCTCAAGTAAGTATGTGAGTAAGATGAATGAATGGAGTTTGAATTGAAATTATGCATCTAAAAAATGGCGCATTTCGCCTTTATTTAATGAACTTGTGTTATTATTTAAAGTAGAAATTTTTCTAACTAAAACTTCTGAGTATGGTTTGATTTTAAAGAGTTTACAGTTGGTTGTAAGGCCTAATGACCAATATATACTGAAATAAACATTTATGGAAGAGAGAAATACAATGAGATGGATTCTTACCGAGAATTTCATATAAAATATCCGCATAATCAAACTACGACAAGTAAAAATGATGACAATTTTAAAATAATATATTTTTGCCAAATTATATTTAATATTATTTTTCTAAATAATAATATTTTATTAATTCTATATCAAATAAATGGATTGATAATTTCTATTTATTTTTTAAAAAATAATTATGATAATAGGTGACATTGATAATTTATTTTATAAAGGATTGTAAATCTATATTGTATTTTACAAACAAATATAAATTCAAAAATATTTAATATTTTGCTAGATCAATTTACAATATTTAATTAATCATGTTTGTCGATTTAGTGTTCAACTTTGGATTTATAATGTCAAAATATATTGTTCAAATTTCACTCTGAACAATTGTAAAATAGTAATTAGTTTTATTATTTTTAATAATAAATTTTATTTTATTTATTTATTTAAAAAAATCTAAAGTTTCATATTAACACTTAAATATCCGAATAAATATGAATATGAAATTGACTTAATATCTTTAATTAATTAAAAATTCGGATAAATTCAAGTCTCAAATTTATTTTTAGTTAAATTAATTTTGTGACAAAAAGAAATAATAAATTTAAAAATAATGTAATTTTAAAAGAGAATAATTTAATAATATTAGTTTGTTTTTAAATTAATAAATATATTAATAATTTATTTTAATATATTTTATATACATTTAATAAATATATTTGATAACTAAGATGGGTAAAGTTACCCAACTATTTTAAATAGGTAAATAAGAATTTGCTATAATGAGCTTTTGCTTGCTATGCCACAAAATTAAAATTTAATGCCAACAATACCATTGTCTCAAAAAGAAAGAAAAAAATTCAGAATACCATGTTTTCTTTGTGTTTTAATGGAGTTTTTAAATATTTTTTCTGTCCACACCATCTAAGATGGCCGATATGGTAGATATTTAGAAGGGATCCGCCATCTTAGATAAAGTTGTATTTTTTTTAATTTTTTGAAAATTAAAAAAAAAATCATTTTAATATTTTTATTTAATAATTTAATTATTTAAATATTATTTAATAATGTTATATTCAATAAAAATATTTTTTTTCAATTTTTTTAAATATCTAATCAACTATTTAATTTTAAACGTTTAATTAATTTTTAATAAATAAAATTAAATACTAAATAATTTTTTAAAAGACGAATTGGAAAAATAACAATCTCATATATAAAATTCTAAATTACGATAGGATTATTCCATAAAAAAAAACTAATTTTTCTGTTCATCCGGATCTTCGAGAAAATTACTATTGGTTCCACATCTTGCAGGAATCTGAGTTCGGTAACTTGGTGTGTTAGAACTAATTGGTGCTAAAAATGACATCCTTGTCAATCCCCAAGCTTGTAGCAGAATAACACAACCCCCCATTCCATCAACATTAACATCAGATGTTTTACACATTTCTCTATATAGAAATGTCAACACAGCTGATCCCCAACTATAACTACCACATTCTTCAAAGTTATCAATAAACGGTATCCACACAGGATGAACATGTTTGGCTCCTTTGTCATGGAATAAAATAAGCGTAATGCATAATATTATATAATTCTTTACATAGAAAGTAAGTTCTTCGTGTGTTGAATTTTCAAAAACAAAATTGTTTTTAAAAAAGTCTTTTACCATTTTATACTTACATGTCTACCTTCAACTACATTATTAGATGGTTGTTCACCCAAAAACGCATTCCATGCTGATAGTGGAATCACGAAAGGCCCCACAAATGCACTACCATTCACGCGGAGACTCAATAGCATACTAACATCTTTCAATGTTATCGTACATTCACCTGTCGGAAAGTGAAAAGTATGAGTTTCGGGTCTCCATCGTTCAAGTAAAACATATATAAAACTGAAATCAATGGTGATATCTTGCAATTTGTAGATATTCGTGAAACTGACGGTTTCCAATAATGGTAATATTACATGCAGGGTATCAATTAATTTGTGGTTTCTCGGTCTAAATTTTCTTTTGGGGCCTACCTAATGCAACCATAGAAAACAATAAATAAAAATTCCATCGGAAAAATGATATTTGTGTAACATAAATAGAATAAATATATAGAGTAACAAAAATAAATAAATATATAAAGTAACATAAATGATATTTGTGTAACATAAATAGAATAAATAAATAGAACAAACCGATTTAAAAATTGTACATGATTGTAAATGGAAAAAGAAAGTAATGAATAATAAAAATTTAGTGAATACTTACTAAAGCATTAATGTTATAAGTAGTTCCCCTATGTTTTTCACTCATCCAAAAAAAAGAGGAGGTTGAGCCATTGTTGTAAAGAACTAGAGAAATTTAAGCGATGAAGATTTGCAATGAAGATATAAAATAGAGAATGAAGTTTGGAATGAGGAATTCATGTTGTCTTACATTGCTATTTATAGAGGAAAAAGTATGGAGAAATAAATTTTATGGTTGAAATAAATTGAATGTACAGTAGAAACTCTTTAAATTAATAATGTCAGGACCGGAGAAATTTATTAATTTAGAGAGTTATTCATTTATCGATAAATTAATAATTATTAATTTATCGATAAATTAATAATTATTAATTTAAAGAGTTTTTAAGTAATTATATTGTACATACCAAACAAAAAGGCAAATTAGTCTATGCCTCTTAGAATTACGTTGCAGCGAACCTTGAGACTCAACGTAAATTAGTAACTATTATGTTCGTATGCATTGAAAATCAATAATGACTTTTGAAGTACAGTAAATGTAAACAAGAGGAACAAATGTGTTCAATGTATTCTTAAGCAAGTTTGTCATATATAAATTATCAAACCATATCTCACAAAATGGCTACTCATCTAAAAGGTTTTGCAAAATCAACTATGTCAGATCAAGTACGTAAGGAGTTGTATGAGTACAAGAGAGATAATCCTGCAAGCAACAAAAAGACTTGCAGAGATGGCTTGAGGGAAAATTTCAGTTGAAAGTTACTCAAGGAACAATATCAAACACACTTAAACGGTCAGATGGCTATCTCTCTGCTGAAATAGAAAAGGGAAGAGCAGAGATCAAAAGACATAAACCAGCAAAATATCCTGACATGCAAAAGGTTGTTTATGAGTGGTTTCCCCAACATCAAGAACATGTGAATATCACAGGAGAATTAATTTTGGAGAAGGCAAGAGATACAATGAAACTCGTGTACCCTCATGATGATTCAGATTTTAACTTCTCTATAGGATGGCTAGGGAAGTTCAAGAACCAACATGGCATAAAGTCATTTCGTCATTTTGGCGAGAGTGGGTTTGTTGATGTACAAGACATGGAGCAGAAATTGGTATCGATTCAGGAGAAAATTGATCAGTTCCCTGTGAAAGATGTTTTCAATATGGATGAAACTGGGTTGTTTTATTGGCTACAAGCTGATCATTCACTAGCAACAAAACAACTTAAAAGAAGAAAATAAGATAAAGAAAAGCTGACGGTAGTTATTTGTTGCAATAAAAATGGCTCTAAAAAAATCCCTCTATGGATTATTGGGAAATATGCAAAGCCTCGTTGCTTCAAGAATGTCAACATGAATAGCTTGGATTGTCAGCATCGAGCTAACAAAAAAGCATGGATGACTAGTATTTTTTTTTATGAATATGTTTGTTCATTTGGCCAAATGATGCATGGTAGAAGAGTTCTACTTGTGGTGGATAATTGTCCAACACATCCAAGAAATATTGAAGGGCTAAGAAACGTTGAGTTGTTCTTCTTGCCACCCAACATGACATCAAAGATTCAACCTTGCGATGCTGGGATAATAAGAGCTTTCAAGATGCATTACTGTAGAAGGTTTTACTGCAAAATATTGGAAGGTTATGAGGTGGGACAATCTAATCCAGGGAAGATAAATGTCCTTGATGCTATCAATTTGGCAATCCCAGCTTGGACGATAGATGTTCAAAAAGAAACAATAGTGAATTGCTTCCGACACTGTAAAATTCGTTCAGCTAGTGACGTTGCAAGAAATTTGGATGAATCCATTTTTGATGAAGAAAATCAAGACCTCGAGACTATGATCAATCAATGTGGCTATCATAATAAGATGGATATCGACAATCTAATGAACTACCCAGGTGAAAATGAAGCATGTTCGAAGGTTCAGAGTTTAGAAGATGTTGTGGGTACTATCATTGAGAGCAGTGAAGAGGATGACGGTGAAGATGATACGGTGTCTTTGGAGCCTGTTACGCGAAAGGAAGCACTTATGGCGTCGAACACTCTTCACAACTTTATGATACAATACAAAAATACAACACCTGAGCTATTGGATGCAATAAGAAAAATTAGAGATGAGGTCCAAATAGACTTGAACTTTAAAGGAAAACAGACAACTATTGAATCATATTTCAATAGAGTGTAATATATTTTTTTTCAGTTTCTATGAATTATTAATTTATGATTTTCTTAGGATCAAAAATTATAAAGGGATCTCGCGAAAAATTATTATCTTATTATTTTATCGAGTTTTTCAATTTTTTACATTGGCCCGAATCAGGATCGGACAAATTTATTATTTTAGAGAGTTTATTAATTTACCGAGTATTAATTTAAAGAGTTTCTACTGTAGTTGGAAGAATTAGTTGGGAGAATAAATTTTATGGTTGAAATAAATTTTATAGACGAATGTAGTTGGGGGAATTAGTTGTAAGAATAAATTTTATGGTTGAAATAAATTTTATAGAGGAATGTAGTTGGGAGAATTAGTCGTGGACTTAATAATTAAGAACATTTAAGAAAATTTGAGAACATTTAAGAAAAATACACTAATAATTTTTCTTGCACAAGGATAAAATTTCATCAACTATTCTATGATATCTAACATATAACTCTAGATGACCATTTGTAATGAAATTAAAATAATTTTGAAACATCTCTCGTACATCTTCATCATTACAAATTTTGACTTTTGCATATATCAGTGACAAATTCGGCTACACAATTTCTTACAAGAAGGCGTGAATTTCTAAGAACAAGGCTATTGCTTCTATTTATGGCAACTGGGAGACTTCATACAACGACCTCCCATAATGGTTGTTGGTCATGAAAATATTTCTACCTGGTACTATAATAGAATTTGAAACCCTTTTTGTGTGGTCGAACGAGGGGACACAAATTGGTGGTGCTAGGATTTTTCACCGTCTTTTTTGAGCTTTCCAACCATGCATCAAGGATTTTGCATTCTGCAAACCAATAGTTCAGGTAGATGGCACATAGTTATATGGAAAGTACAAGGGAACTTTGCTAATGGTTGTTACACAAGATGGTAATAAGAGTATATTTTCAATAGCTTTTGCATTGGTAGAGGGTGAAACAGGAGATGCTTGGAGTTTTTTCTTGAGAAATCTTAGAAGGCACGTTACACCGTAGCCCAACATGTGTTTGATCTGAGATTGACACGAGTCGATAAAGAGCACATATAATAACCCGGATAACGGTTGGTAGTACCCTCCCTCCTCACACGTCTTTTGCATTAGGCACACAACACAAAACTTTATGAGGGAAATCAAAAACAAGGAACTTCACAAAAAAGTTGTTAACATGGGTATCTTCTGAACTTATCTTTGTATATATATCTAGCCATAACTTCTATACACTAATCTATTTTTCTTTTTCATACTCAGGATATGCATTAAATGAGTATACATACGAATACCACAGAGGAGAGATATGTAAAGCTGATGTACAGGAAGTACAATGGCTGGACAATATTCCTAGACATAAATGGACCAGAGCACTTGATGGAGGGAAACAATGGGGCCATATGACCACCAACCTTGCTGAATCAATGAACTCAATTCTGAAGGCCACACGTAATCTTTCGATTACAGCTCTGGTAAAATCAACATACTATAGATTGGGCACACTTTTTGGAAAAAGAGGATATTAATGGACTAAAATGTTGGGTTATGTACAAGTGTATATTGATAACTACATGAAGCGTATTGAGGAAGAAGTAATCAAATCAAATAGTCACAATGTTATGCAATTTGATCGTCAGAGGTTCTGCTTTCTTGTCTAAGAAACAATGACTTATAATAATGGTAGACCAGCTACCCATTTCGACCTCAAGAACCAGACGTGTGAGTGTGGAAGATTTCAAACTTTCCATGTCCCTTTCTCACTGTCGCTACTGCGAAAATCGGTGCCGGCTAGACAGAAGAGTCGCGACCATGCGTTATTTATCCCAAAGGAGGGAAAGGAAACGCTCGAAGTAAACCTAACTCAAAGACGGGAAAGGAATGGTCGTCGCAACCAAATCCTGGATTCGAGAGTCGGTTACGCAAGGGGAAGGTATTAGCACCCCTCACGTCTGTCGTACTCGACGGGATCCACGCTTGTTTTCTAGTACGGATTGTTATTCTATCTACTCTAAAGGTCTGGGGTTAAAAGAAAATAAAATGACTCGGCAAAGTATCGCACTTTATGCCTACGTATTCCCGTCTGAACGAGAAATCAGAGTCGACGTAGTTCGCCTACCTACGGGAAAAGAGGGGAAGGTTGCTCGCTAGGATGCGGCATCCTATGCCTACGTACTTTCATACAACATGAAAGATCAGAGCAAACGTAGTTCGGGCCACGGAAGACACAGATTTGTCTGACTGTTTTTTATCTTTCTGAAAAGGTTTTCTCCTGATTACGGGTCCAAGCGGACAAAAATGACACTTTGATGTTTGTTTTCAGTCTTTTATGCAAGAACTGTTTTTTATGATGTTTGCAATCTCTGACGCACTAGAGACTATGATTTGAGAGTGACTACGTCGTATGTCACCCTAGGAGTAACACACTAAGCACTCAGATTACTGAAGAGTGACCCTCCAGTAACCCTCTCTCAAATAGCTTAAGGCTCGTAGCATACAATGTCGATCATCCTTATTACTGTGTTTTGAATTGATCTGAGATAGAAGAGAAAGAACTCTAAAAACCTAGGGTTTGAAATGGGAGTCAAAACTACCCTAATGTTGTCATGCATGGATTACAACCTAATGTCTGTCATATTCCTCTCTTGCACAGAGAGAAACAGAGATCCTAGGGGATGAACGGAAAAGAAACAGATGTACAGTAAACAGTAAATATGCATGAGATGCAGCAGGACAAACGAGACAAGGGAGTCCCACTCAACCTCAAACCTGGGAAAACAATAGGCAAAGTGAAACAGCTTCACTTCAAACCCAAGGGCAAGCTGAACAAGCCAACAGACAATACAGAAAAAAAGAAATAAAACCCAACACCAGCTCTGACAGCAACACCAACTCCTACAATAAGCAGTTCAAACAGCACCAGCTCTGACAGCTACAGTTGATCACATCAACAAGGTTGACAGTAACAACTTCTCCCAGTAAGACCCCACTTTCACTCTTCAAGGATCCCCAAGCTTTAGATAAGCTCCTGTCTTCAAAGGTCTCCAAGCTCTGGCAAGCACTGAATCCCCAACAAATAAACAGCTTCAAATAGCAGCAAAACCCTAATCTTCAACAGATACCCAGCTTTGACAGGCACAAGCTTCATCTTCACCAATCTTCAATGAAATTCATTCTCCAATAGGTTCCCTTTTCCAATGCAAACACTCACAGGAGAGAATCAACTAATAGATGAAGTTGGAATGTTAAGAAGCTTAATAATAACCTAGGGAAATCACTAAGATCTTAGCATAGCAAGTGAAAGGTATCCTCAAGGTTCTACCCAACCAAGCCTGCTCTACATCCCTCCTAAGGAGAGATGGCACTTCTTTGGGGGACCTTGTGTCATAGGATGTAATAGAGGCACAAGAAGCTCTCTATGTTTGAAAGAAGAAATCAATCTAATCTAAAGCTCTCCCTATATCTCCTATCTCCTGAGTCTTCAAAAGCAATCTTCAAGATTAAGAATCTCATGCTCCAAGCCCCATCCTTTATCTCCAATCATATCCAAGGTCTTCATTAGCTCCATCAAGCAAAACTCAAACCCCCAACACCCAATTGAAATGACCAAAACCCAACACACAAACCAAAAGCCCAAAAGGGAAACACACAAACATCACCCAATTTGCAAAAATCAACTAAAATAGTAATATTCATCCTAAAATCCTAGATTAATTTCCAAGGGAACCTAACTATGTACCCTATACCCCACATAAACCCCAAGGCCTAAATCAAACCCTAAGTCTCCAAACTATGCCCTAAACTCCACCTAAGTGTTGTAAAACCCTAATCCTAACACCCTAAAGTTCATTATTCAAAACTAGCCTAAATTTCATCATAAAAATATGAGAAAAATCTCTAAGGGAGCATGTACCTCTAATCTAATCAATCCAACAAGAATCAACTCAAAAACACTCACCAATCTCTCATACTAAATTCAGCAAAATAAGGTATCAAACAAATGCAAAATAAAATCAATAAAATTGTAAAATGTACCAAAATAAAATAAAATGCATGAAATAATGTTTTTATTGTTTTATTAAATTCTAGAAACCCTAAGGAAAACAAGGAAAAAATCCTCACCCTAAAATGATCTTTTTTCAATTAGTTATGATTTTTTCAATTAACCTAAAATAATATGAAAAAAAAATGAAAAGAAGGCGTGACAAATAGCAATCAGAATCAGTTCACTTCACCAATTGGACCCAGAGGGGGTGCTTATAGGAAGCGCGTGTTAGGCCCATCATTCAATCAGAAAATAAAACTAAAAAATCAAAGAAAATGGATAAAATGCTGGTACGAATAGCAAGGACTTCACGTGTATTTTCCATTGGGCCTCCAGAAAGGGGTGTGGTTAGCAACAAGATCATGAAGCCCATCCAAGTACATTAAGTGAAACGGTGCGTTTCCATCATTCTCAGAATCCTTCACAAATTTAGACGCGCTCATGGTCGTTGGATGATGCTTTGGTCAAAGGTCTCCTAAGATCCAAGGGCACCAGGTTCATCTTCTCCAAATTTAAAACGTGGGAGGGAAAAAACACAGACGGTGGCCGGCGGTGGAGCCACCGTCGTCCCCAAACCTCAACTCTCTTAAACCTCACCAAAACCCTAACCTAACTACATCATCTTGCTCGTTTTTCCACAAGAAACTCAACCATACTATCCATTTGTATTGAAACCTCCTCCTTCTCAAAACACGAAGACATGTTCAGAAATGGCTCAAACAAGAATCATCACCAAACTCAAAATTGAGAAGCCTATGATCAACTACACTTCACACTGAGTAAAATCCACCATCAAACTAGGTTTAATCCTCAAGAATCATCAAGAACCAAGCTTAAACAGAAATTGGTCACCTATCTAAATTGTCACCAATCAACTCCAAACCAATCCAGAAACGTCCTAACCATCATCTATAATGAATCTACGCTTTTTATTTGTTATCTCTAATACCCCCCTCC